CTGTGTGGCTTGACTGGCCCAGCCGAGGCCAGGGGCTGAGCCCAAATTCAGCGGCTGCCTTCCCACCAGAGCTGGCAGGGGGGGGGGCTGAGGGTCAGTGGGGGGGGGGGCTGCACCCTTCCCTGCCCCTCCCCCTCCCTTCCGGCCATGGGGGGGGGCACTGACCTCCATTAAGGGCATGTCACCCCTCCGTCCCCCAGATGCTTCCAATTAAGGACAAGGAGATTCCCACTGGGCTGTGCTAGCAGATTCCTATAGTTTGGGTCCAAAAAAAAAAAGGGTGGGGGTGGGGGAATCCCCTTGACTCTCACAGGATCCGGATGCTGCCTTTGAGTTGGTCTTGCAGGCTTTTGTTTTCTTCCAAGGCCTAAACGGAGCCATTGTCCTCTTTCCTCCGCAGAGCGACCGTCTCCCTTGCACGCCTGTCTCCAGGATGGACCCTGCAGGGACATCCAGAGCAGCCAAGGGCCGGCTGTGTCCCAGGCCCCTTGCAAGCCCCCACTTTTCGATGCCGAGGGCAACAGCCAGGGTCTGCAGAGAGGCCCCCCTACGGGGGAGGATTATAACATGAACGTCGTCTCCAGTGAGGTCGGCCTGCAGCCTCCTCCCGCCTTGGCCAGCGCAGCATCTGGGAAGCCTCCGGAAGCTCGGAGCAGCCCTCTGCCCCTCAGTTCGGCCTCCCAGCCCCACAGCCGCAGCCCTCACGGGTCCCCTGCCACAGAGAACTACTGTGCCCAGTTTCAGAGGGATGCTGTGGTGTGCCAGGAGAAAGAGGAGAGAGCCGGCTCGGCTGGGGACCCAGCAGGGCACAGATCCCCCATGGGTGGGGTCTCTCAGGACGAGCCTACCAAGCCCCCCAGGGATGGAGCGCCTGGAGAGTCCCTAGAACCCCAGGCAAGCCCCGTACGAGAAGCGGCTGCCCCCCTGAGCTCCGAGGGAGAGGGCAGTTTGCGAGGGCTGCCCTCTGCCTCCTCCGATACCACATCTCCCTCCTCGGACCCCGGCATAGAGGCCGATCTCACCAGCCGGACCTCCAAGGCCTTCTCCTCCCGCATCCAGCACAGCGAGGACCTCAGCTCCCCCAGCTCCGACTCCGATGTGGAGCGGGAAATCGAGGCAGCCTTTGCGTCTAACGGGAGCCGCTTGGCTAGCAACATGATCTCCAGCATCTCCGAAACGGAGCTGGACGTGAGCAGCGAGAGCAGCAGTGGCCGTTCCTCCCACTTGACCAATTCCATCGAGGAGGCCAGCTCCCCGGGCTCTGAGGCCGACCTGGATGCGGACCTGGACGCCCCGGGCGTGATGGGCCTGAAGGATGCCCTCCTGCTGGATGCCAAGAAGGAAGAGGAGGGCACGCGGCTGCCCACAGAGGAGAGCCTGGCCCCCCTCAAAATAGAGGAGTTCTACGAAGACCCCTCGGTGCCCGTCGACCAGATGGAGCTTCCTCCTTCGAGCTGCCTGGAGCTGGAGATCAACCCCGACCACAGTCTGGAAAGCCTGCGGCGGTCCTTCTACCTGCCGGTGGGGCGTCAGCTCCTGCGCGATGGGGCGGAAGAGGAAGGGAACAGCGAGTACGATTCTGAATCGGACTCGGAGTCGGAACCCGACCTGAGTGAGGATTCGGACTCTCCGTGGCTGCTCAGCAACCTGGTGAACAAAATGATCTCGGAGGGCTCCTATCCCATCAAGTGTGCCGATGAATGCTTCCCGGCTGCTCCCTCCCTCTCTGACACCATTTCTCCGGCCTCCGACTTGGAGCCAGAGATGCCCAGCGAGGCCCTGAATGACGCCCAGCCCCGCTCCCAGCAGAGCATCGAGCTGGTGGACATGGAGACGCTGCGCTGCTCGCTGCAGGGGGCTGAGGAGGAGAAGCCACTGGGGGCCCAGCCTGCAGTGGAGAAGGGCCCTCAGGTGGGCCACATGGGGCCCTACCTGCTCATGAGCAACTCCACCCATGACGTCATCGCGCCCGTCTTCCCAGGGCGGCCCTACTCTGGCTGCTGCCTCAACCCTGTTGCCACCAAAACCTTCCCCCCCAGGGAGCCCCCTGGCAAGGCTGACCCAGCTACAGAGGAAGAGGAGGAGGAGGAAGAGGAGGGGGCCATCGATGGGGACCTGGACTCGGGCATCTTGGAGGACAACGATATGATCGACGACATCCGGTTAGAACCCAAGGAAGGCCTGGATGTCTCCACCGCCAAGACCAACCGCTGCTTCAGCCTCTCCTACTCCCCCGAGGAGGACGCGGTATCCTGCCTGGGCAGCCTGAAAGGGTCCCCTTTCGGCCAGGAGCTTCCCCTCCCACCACCCGCGGTGATACTGGACGACTCCCTGGCCTACGACTCGGTCAAGTACACCCTGGTGGTGGACGAGAACACCCAGCTGGAGCTGGTCAGCCTCCGGCGATGCACTTCAGTGCTGAGCGATGACAGCGAGCTGTTCCGTGCCTGCGATGCCACCGACCCGGAGGATGCTGGAAGTGACTTTGGGGAAGGGCTGGGGGCTCCTGACGGGTGCAGCTCCTCCTCAGAGGACTCCTCCCCGGAGGCCGACCTCCACTTCTCCAAGAAGTTCCTGAACGTCTTTGTCAACAGCACCTCGCGCTCCTCCAGTGAGTGATGGGGAAACGGGTGGGGGTGGGGGTGGGGAGGGAAGGGGAGGGAGGGGTGGGGGGAGGCAAGGCTTTGGAGGTGACCAGAACGGCCGCTGTAGCATTCAGCCCCCTTCCGGGCCTTTTGGAGAGTCCTCTACTTACAACTATCCCCTTAGTGACAGTTCACAGTTACAACTTCATTGAAAAAAGTGACTTATGACCGTTTCCCCCACTTATGACCGTTGTTTGGCAGCTGATATGGCCATTGTTTGGCAACTCATATATATGATGACGTTTAGGGAGTTTGCTAGCTAGCAGTCACTTTTGTGACTGCTGGCTAGCAAACTCAATGGGGAAGCCAGAGTCAACAACCGTGTCGCTAACTGAAAAACAGCAATGATTCCCTTTGGGCAAGGAAGGTCGTAAGGTCGTAAAACGGGGCTTAACAAATGTCTCACTCAGCAACAGAAACTCAATTGTGGTCATAAGTCGAGGACTGTCTGTACTTTTCTTGGTCCCCCAAATCCCAACCTTTGCTGTCTCCTCCAACTTACTTTGCTGGCTGAGCCGGAGCCTCCTGCTGCCCCTGCGTGGTGGGCTTTTGTCCTCCGGGAGGTTGGGGGCCTCCCCCTGCCCTGGCTGGCCCCCCACCCCGCTTTGAGCAGCCGGACTGCCCCCTCCCCCCCGGTCTCCTCTGATCCAGCTTCCCCAGCGATGCCTTCTCTGCCCCCAGGCACCGAGTCCTTCGGTCTCTTCTCTTGCATGGTGAACGGAGAGGAGCGAGAACAGACGCACCGAGCCGTGTTCAGGTGAGCTGGGGCAGGAGACCCACCTGGGGGGCTGATCCAGGGCTGGGGGGGAAGGCAGAAGCCCCCAGGTCTTTCCTGTTTTGGGGGGACCTTCAACTGCCGGCTGAGTTGGGCCGCTATCAGTCTGCATCTCCTTTAAGAGGTCTTCATGCTCCACGCAAAAATGGGGCAAAATGGGTCAGTGTTCAATGTCCACGGAGATTCTCCATCATCCAGGTGTCCCAGGTGCTTTTTCCAAAAGGCACCTGGACTTCCTTGGTTTTTCCTTGAAGACGTTTCGCTTCTCATCCGAGGAGCTTCTTCAGTTCTAGCTTCCGTTCTTCAGCTAGAACTGAAGAAGCTTCTTGAATGAGAAGCGAAACGTTTTCAAGGAGAAAAACCCCAAGAAAGTCCAGGTGCCTTTTGGGGAAAAAGCACCTTTGGGAGTGCTAGTGGCCATGGCTGTCGGCCAGGGGCAGAGAGGAGCAGAGGGGCAGCTGCCCCCCAGAAGGAAGCTCCTGAAATGCCCCCCCCCCCCCGGTCTGCTCTCTCTCCCAGGTTCATCCCTCGCCACGAAGACGAGCTGGAGCTGGACGTGGACGACCCCATCCTGGTGGAGCTGGAAGAGGACGACTACTGGTACCGGGGCTACAACATGCGCACGGGGGAGCGTGGCATTTTCCCGGCCTTCTATGCCCATGAGGTGGTGAGCCAGGCCAGGGACGTGGCAGGTACGCTGCAGGTGACGGGGAGGACGGAGGGGGAGAACCTGCCTCTCTTGCTTGGGAGCTGCTCACTGTCTGCCTGGCAGAGTTGCAGCAACCCAAGGAGCCCCGGAGGGCCCACTGGGCAGGGGGGTGTTGAGGTAATTCCCCGTTAGGAGAATGAGCGCATACAGGGAGACGTAGTGAGAGTAATGTTGAATAATACACAAACAGCACACAGATACACTGTACAGTAAATGTAGG